CGTTCGTGTGACCGTGTGGTGCTGCACACGCTAACAATACACTAGCGATTAAGACTGTCAGCATTCGGTCTCTGCAAAAACACAAGGTTCTGTTTGTAATGGTTTGGTCCACGTGTTTTGGAGGAACCAAACATGAATGACGATCGTACCCTCTTCCGCGGTGCTTCTGGCGCCGACCCTGGTGCGCTGAGCGCTCTGGGAACGGGGTACGGGGGGGTGTTCAGCGCCGACCGAAGAACTCCGCGCGGACCGAGGCACACTTTGCACTTTGACGGCAGGTTGCTGACGCAGCGGCGACCTCAGCGACGGCGTTCAAGGCTGAACGCTGGCGACGGCCTGGCGCCGGCCGATATCGAAAAATCTGCACAATCGAAAAGCCGCGACCGTTCAGCGGTGAACGATGCACGCGGTGCCAGAAACCAACGCGCAAGGCATCACGACACGAGCTCGGCGTGCAGCTGTTCGGCGCAGGCTCTGCATGGCGCATGGCAGCGGCGGTAGCTCTGCAAGCACGCTCAAGTGTCACCGAGCTGTTCCTTGGCCAGCCAGCGCCCATGATCATTTCACACTGCCCAGCCAAAACAGCAGACCATCCCCCCGTACTCGCTATAGCCCCTGTCATGGTCCTCCCAGCTCCCCGTCTCCCTTCCCTCCCCATCCTCCTCCTGCTGCTTTTCCTCCTCCTCCTCCGCCCTCATCCTCCGCCCTCCCCCCCTCCCTGACTACCTCCCTCCTCCCTCTCGGGGAGACCAAAGGGTACGGATACCGCTACTCTCCAAACCTCTCCGGGGGTGCGTTCTAATTCCGAGGCGAATCCAGCGGTGGCGACGAGGGCCTCCCCTGTGGCCTAGAAAGGCGAAAACGAGGCAAGGGTAGCGGTATGGTTACCTTTTCCTCCGCTGATCCTCCTCCTCCTGCTCCTCCTCCTCTTGGGTGGCTTCTCATAGGCCCCGGGTAATCATGTTGCTTTCAATTACACCGGACTCACTTCTATAGCGCTCACTTCTATAGTGCTCACTTTGAAATTGTGGTCCGGAAGGGGCCGCACATGCAGGCACATGCCGCACAGTCGCATGCACATGCCCATGCAAATATACAAAAGCCTCAACAGCATTGCCGCACATGCGCGCACATGCCACACCGTCCGACGCACAGTCGAATGCACGGTCAAGCAAAACTCTGAAAGCATAGACGCACATGCCCGCACATGCCGCAGAGATGTCGCAGGCGATAGTGGCCTGACCACCTGAGCTCGGGGCATTTCGCAACCCAGAGTTCCGAGGATGTCTCAGGCAAGCGTGGCCGGATCACCATGGGGCAGGGCATCTTGGAAACCAGAGTGGCGAGGATGTCGCTGGTCAAGGTGACCAGACGACCATGGGGCAGGACACCTCCGAGGTCTGAGTTGTGAGGATGTCTCAAGCGAAAGTGGCCTGACCACCATGGGGCAAGAGATCTCTGAGGTCAGAGTTGCGAGGATGTCTCTGGGGAGAGTGGTCTGACCACCTCAGCCCAGGGCATCTCGGAGCCCAGAGTTGCGAGGATGTCTCAGGCAGGACTGGCCTGACCACCTGCTCAGGGCATCTCAGAACCCAGAGTTGCGAGGGTCTCAGGCGAAAAAGGCCGAGACACTGTGGAGCAGGGCATCATTGAGGTCAGAGTTGCGAGGATGTCTCAGGCAAAAGTGGCCTGAACAGCTCAACTCAGGGCATCTCGGGCGAGGATGTCTAAAGCGAAAGTGGTCTAACCACCTCAGCTCAGGGCGTCTCGGAACCCAGAGTTCCGAGGATGTCTCAGGCGAAAGGGGCCGAGACACTATCGAGCAGGGCATCATTGAAATCAGGGTTGCGAGGATGTCTCAGGCGACAGTGGCTGACCACCTCAGCTCGGGGCATATCGGAATCGAGACTTGCGAGGATGTCTAAGGCGACCGTGGCCTGACCAGCATGGGGCAGGAGATCTCTGAGGTCAGAGTGGCGAGGATGTCTCAAGCGAAAGTGGTCTAACCACCTCAGCTCAGGGCGTCTCGAAACCCAGTCCCGAGGATGTCTCAAGCGAAAGTGGCCGGGCCACCATGGGGCAGGGCATCTCCGAGACCAGAGTTGCGAGGATGTCTCAAGCGAAGGTGGCCAGATCACTTCATGTCAAAGCACGTCGGCCTCCAAATTGCCGACGACGTCTCACGCGGAACTGGCCGGACGCGAACGCGCCGGCGTCCGGAGACGAACGCCGGCCCCGGCATTCTTGCACGTCCCGCACATGCACTGCACAGGTACGCACAGTATTCGCACAGGCCGAGCTCGCCGGTGGCCGAGCCAGGCCAGCGATTCCGAAATTCCCTGAGCTCGGGCCGTCAAGCCACTTTCGCCTGAGACATCCTCGCAACTCTCACCTCCTCCTCCTCCTCCTCCTCCTCCTCCTCCTCCTCCTCCTCCTCCTCCTCCTCCTCCTCCTCCTCCTCCTCCTCCTCCTCCTTCTCCTCTGGCCGAGCCGAACAGGCAGGCGGGCCAGTGGCCGGGGGCGCCCGCCTCCTCCGCCCCCCCCTCCTCCCCCCCCCCTCCACCTCCCCCCCCCCATCCCTGCTTCTCCGGCCGAGCTGAGAAGGCGCGCGGGAGAGTATTTTATTAGGCGGGCGCGCCACCGCCAGCTCACGAACCGGGCGAATAACCGCCCCCGCCAGCAGCGGGCGAGTCTAAACGCACAACAAACTCTTTCAGGAAACCCTGGCACGCCCCAAGTTAGCTCTGCGAAGGCCAGGAGGCATTGGAGGCACAGGGGTCCCAGACAGCTCCTAGGGCATGAGCGTGCATGTGCATTGGGATGTGCACGCATGTGCGCCCGCGCGCTTCACCGCATGTGCGTGCATGTGCGGGCCCGCGCGGCCTCCCGAAGAGAGGTTGCACAGGCATGTGCGTGCATGTGCCGATGACAGATCTGCGATTCTCGAACACCTCCCGCATGTGCAGGCATGTGCGCGCATGTGCGTCGGACTGTGCGTGCATGTGCGTATGATGGATACATCAAAACACAGCGCACATGCCCCCGCACATGCCCGGGCACGACGTGCACAGTAGGAAGTCCATCCAAGAAGGACCGCACAGGCCTGGCACATGACTGGCACATGCCGCGCACATGCGCGCACATGACAGCGCAAAAACGGCCGCACATACACCCACCCAGGGGTATAGATGTGAGTGCGGTGTAAGGCCTACTAAGGCCAAACCAGGCGCATTGCGGCGCACATCGCTCGCCTGCTTGCGGTGGACGCTTGCCTGCGTTGGAGACGCATGGAATGCGCCCACCAACGCTGAAAGTGAAAGAAGGCAACGGCGATGGCGAAGTTAGGAGCCCAAGATCTCCAGCGCAAACGCCGTCACCAGAAAATGCGCCCGATGGGGCGGCCCGCAATTAGCCTTAATTGGCCCGAAATGACAGCAAATGGCATCACATGACCTTAATTTGCCTTAAATGGCCTTGAGTAAAAGCGACAGGTGGTCCTTATTTGGCCTTAAATGATCTTAAATAGCATGGAGTGGTTCGTCGTATTTTGATTTTGAGCACCCATGGAACGCCACTCGGCTCCTCCTTCTTCTCCTCCTCGCAGGTGGGGCCTCGTCGCGTGACCTGGGGACCCAGGCGGCATGCCGTACTGCACGCCCGCGGAGTACGGCGAGAGCGCCGAGGGATGCAGCGTGGAGTTCGCGGTCTCTGCCAGCAGCTGCCGCAACATCCCGGTCGTGTCGCCCAGGGAGGAGTGCGAGCCTCGGGATCAGATGCCAAGAAGGATACGATAGGATACGCTCACCATTCACACCATATCGTCCGATTGTCCAGTGAGTGCTGCACTCGCTCTTGCCTTCAGCATCGCACAGCAACTGGCCCCTGACTACGGTCAGGACCTATCACTTGGCGTGTCTAGGCGACGGCCTCGGCGACAAGCCATACCCTGCGGGTTGATAGCGTCTCGCTCCACTTCGTGGGGCGGGAAGCTGCCAAAAGCTGGGGACGTTGACGCTTGAAGATGGGAGAGGTGAGCGTGTCGCGCCGAAGCGTGGTGGGCCATAACAGCGAAGCAACACGCGAAACAGCCATCCCTGACCGCAATTCACAAACATGGGGGTAAGAGAAGTAAGGATAAAGAAGAGGAGGAAGAGATAATATGATGACGGAAGCAGAAAAGAAAAGAGGAGGAGAAAGAGAATGAGGAACAAAGCGTAATATGAGAAGAATGAGAATTTAGAGGGGGAAGAAGACGAGAAGGTGGAGGAGGAGAAGGAGGAGGTGGAGCCAGGCTCGACATGAAGCGGTCAGCTGCAAGACGCGCGCGATTGCGCGGAAGCTTGCGCACTCAGGCGACTGGCCTTCGGAAGTGACTGTACACGATCCTGTAGTAGATGATTCTGCTACGACTAAGCCTGCGGGACTGAAAATCTGCTCAAAAAGCCTACCTAGATAGTATTTTTCACGCGATCAAATTCCATGGAAAACCTACATAACGATCAATCAAAAGGATCCTCTCGCTGCGGATGCGGTTGCGGCCTCCCCATCGCTCGCCAGGTCCCCGTCGCCATCGCCCATCACTGCACGCTGCAAATCGATTCCGCCGCCGACGACGTACACACCCGAATGCAGCTCCTTTGCCTGGCTATGTTCAGCGCATCCTCTTCCTTCGACGTCAGGTCGACGGCAAGTTGCAGTTCCGCTGGAGGCGCTGGCGCCACCGACGTCAAGTCGACGGCAGGTTGCGGATCTGCTGACGGCGCCGGCGCTGGCGCTGGCGGCGCTGGCGCCGGCTCCGACCCGCCCGAGCACGCACGCGTGAAGCTCTTCTGCTCGCCCGTGCCCAGCACGACCTCCTCCTTCTTCGTCAGGTCAGCAGCAGGTTGCGGCTCCGCTGGCGGCGCCGGCGCCTTCTGCTCGGCCATGTCCAGCGAAGCCTCCTCCTTCGACGTCAGGTCCGCGGCAGGTTGCGGCTCCGCTGGCGGCGCCGGCGCCTTCTGCTCGGTCGGGTCGACGGCCGGTTGCGGTTCTGCTGGCGTCGCTGGAGCCGGCGCCGGCTCCGCCCCGCCCGAACACACCCGCGAGAAACTCTTCTGCTCGGCCGTGTCCAGCGAAGCCTCCTCCTTCGACGTCAGGTCCGCGGCAGGTTGCGGCTCCGCTGGCGGCGCCGGCGCCTTCTGCTCGGTCGGGTCGACGGCCGGTTGCGGTTCTGCTGGCGTCGCTGGAGCCGGCGCCGGCTCCGCCCCGCCCGAACACACCCGCGAGAAGCTCTTCTGCTCGGCCGTGTCCAGCGAAGCCTCCTCCTTCGACGTCAGGTCCGCGGCAGGTTGCGGCTCCGCTGGCGGCGCCGGCGCCGGCGCCGGCTTCGCCACCTCCGCGGGGGTCTCCTGCGGCGGCGTCTGGCAGGCTTGGCCCATCGTCCCGCGCCGCCCTCGGAGTGTCGGACTCGGGGCCTCGGCCTCGGCCTGCACCAAAACTGCTTGGGGAAAAACGGCTTGAGCCAAAATGGCTACGGAGGAGGAGGAGGAACACTTCGCGTCAGTGCCTGCTCAACGGATCCCAGGACCTCCTGCATGGACACGCTTGCTCAAAAACCCGCTGGTGCATGCCGAACCCACGGTTGCTTACTAAATGCCAGCGTGCGGTGCGTTTCCCTCTCAACCCATGCCCTTTTCTTGTCTAGAAAATGCGTGGGTTCTTATCCTTGCGCCTGAGGAGAGAAAGGCGCATGACCTGCAGTAGTGCTTCCGGAATGCTTGCAACAACGACCGGGGCAAGGTGGCCGTCGCTGCCTCGATCGCTTGCAGTAGAGAAGCTCAGGATAGATGGATTCAGGGACTTAAGGGAGGTTTGTTCAGTGCTTCTCTCTGCCTCCCCTCCAGGTCCTCGTTCTGTGCTTCTCCCAGGGGTAAGATAATCAGGAATGTTGAGGCCCCGTGGAGCTGCCCAGGGATTTTGTGAGCCCTCAAAATATGGCGGATGATGAACATGAACAAATTAGGCTTGCTGCGCTCATGATGACGAACGCCTTTGTGCGAGGGATCCCCTGTGCTGCGTTGCTGCCCCACTGTGCGGAATGCAAGCCCTCCTCTCGTCCTGAGTTTGAGTGTCTTGTCGGAACAAAAAGTTTCTCTGGGTCGCTGGTTGACTTGGGCATGCTTGGTGTCCCGTCTTTGCCCCCCACCTCTCTGATCTCCTCTCGCTTGCCTTCGCTCAGAAGTTGGCGCACTCACTATGGAGAAAACGGAACATGCCAGCACGTGTGCAGTCACGCTTGCTGCACGGGGAGACCGCCGGTGCCGCCGAGTTTTGCGGTGCAACTGGCCTCTTGCGCTGCTGCCGACGTTGGGACTCTTGGGGTGAGTCCGATGGTGCCGCCGGGAGCCTTGGAAGAAGAGGTGCCGCCGAAGCCGTTGACGTACGCACCCGAGTAAGTCTCTGCTCTTCCTCCCCCCCTTGCATGCGCAGGGGCCTTTTCAATGCACTGGTTTCGCCTTTCTCTCTGCCCGGTACACAGGCTTCAGGCCCATCGGCCCTTAGCTAGCGAGTGAGGAGGAAGGAGGTCGATGGGGACGGGCCCAGCTCGCGTCGAAGCTGCCCCCCGAGCTCGGACCCACGAGATGCCTGCCACCCGGTGAGAACTGGACCTGGCCCCAAAATTTGCCCGCGAAAGGGAACACAAGCAGCGCGCTGCCGTGCGCGGAGGAACCTGGAGCATCGCTTCACGGGTCCCTACCCTCACCACCGTGTACCCCCCCAGATGGGGCGCTAGTCTCTTCCCTTTGGGCTTGGAGGGGCACATCCCCAAGTGGGGTGGTGGGATGGTGGGGGGTCGGGATGGGGACACAAAGACGTCATGATTCTGATGATTTGTTCAAAACGTCGGCCCCGAAAGGTCTCGACCCAGTCCCCCAAACCGGTTTTTCATCCCGGGTCGTGTTTTGACGGTCCCGAGTTGGGTGTTGTTGGCGCCTGTATCTAGGAGCCGTTACACGGCGGCCGACACAACTGTCCGAAGATTCTGCCAGTCTGCGGATTGCAGCCCTGAGCATGTCGTCTGCGGCAACAGAAGACACAACACTTGCACGCCGATTGCATGATCAAGAACGTAGTTCTCTGGGCCCTGATGGAGCAATCGGGCATCGCAGAGCATAGGTCTTGCATAATATTGGATTTCACAACATTGACACAATCGCAATGTCATTGCCATGGTGCGTGCATTGTAACATTGCCGAAGATAGGGCACCAACATCGCCCGCAATATAACAGATCATCGACGCCCTGAATGTTTCCCCCGATGTCTGATAGCGGACCGGTGGTAGCGTGCCGGGGATGACAATCGATGGCGCGTAACGTCCAGCACTGCCACTACATGCATCCGCAATGCGATCGCCACAAGGTGAACACACACACACACACAAAGCACGGATATGCTTAGAGACTCCGCTACTGCTTAAGAGACAATCTCCCAACAGAGTGTGGCCCTTTTCCCGCCTACCAGGGCCTACTGATACGAATTCCCACCAAAACATGTATGCCAGAGCGGGCGGGTGCCAGATAGGAACCCTGATGGCCCCGGCGGCCGATCCCCCAATCCAGCAAATACTCAAGCGGGTGGGGAAAAGGAGAAGAGGGGAAGGGGAACCGAGCGGAAGTGAAGCGACGCCCTGAATGGTATCTGGGTTTCTGCGACTGTGGGGCGGTACCTCTCACATAAAATGGCCCCAGGGGAGGGGCAACAATGAGGGACGATGCGGGAAGGAGGGAAACAGGGCGTCAGAAAAACGTCCCTGGTCGTGTTCAAGCCCTGTTGGGTTGTATTGGACCACTTTGGCGCGACGAAGACAAACGCGAGGAGGGAGGCGGAGGTGAGAATAGGAGGAGGAGGAGGAGGAGGAGGAAGAGAGGAGGAGGAGGAGGAGGAGGAGGAGGAGGAGGAGGTCAACAAGAAAGATGTGGACACCAGTCCGACGTCGCGCTGGCTTCGGCATGTGCAACATGCTGCTAATCCGTGGCCTCGCGCTCGTCGGCTGTCGGCTGAGCTCCCAGAAGGACCCCATGAGGGACCCAAGGGTACCCCAAGACAGTCCCTGGAGGGCCTCACAAAGGTGGAGAAATGCGGCCGCGTTTGCCCACATCGAGTCGAGGTTCCTGGGGAGACCTTGGAGCCTTTTTTGTGAGCCTTCTTGGGGCCCTCTGAAATCCCTCCCTTCTCGTTCTCTCGCCCTCCCTCCTCAACTTCCCTCATGTTCCCAATGCCGCGCGGTGCTGTGCATTGCCGTTCGTGTGCGAAGCAATCCACATGTTGTACCGTCATGTGCCTACACACGGTCCCCACCCGGGCCCCATCCCCCGGGCCAGGCACCGAGGTCGGGGCACCATCCAGTTGTCGAGCAGCGGTCGTGCACAATGACCGAATCCACATATTGTGCTCTCAAGGGCGGACAACATGGTTTGGGAGGCCGTCCGCAAATTGTATTGTCGAGCGTGGACAAGTGTCCCTGGTCCACAGGCTGTACTGTCAAGTGCGAACAGATTGCCTGGGCCTGTGCGCGCACAATCTGCGGACAAGGGGTGCGCCCACAGGACAATCTGCGGACACGCGTGTTGTCCGCAGATGGTCCTGGGGCCGTCCGGTACCCACGCGCAGAATCCACAGCTCGGGGGTGGGGCATCCGTACTACTGGCGCCGAATCCACAGATCGACGGGGGAAATGGTGTCAGCGCGAGCCGAATCCACACTTCGAGTTTCCTGATAGTCCCTTTCGATTTTCTTGGGGCCCCCAGCCCAGGCCACCTGGGAGGCCCCCAGGCTCCCAGGAAGGCACGGCCATCTCTGAGCCTAGAGTTGCGAAGCTGTCCCAGGCGAAACGAGGCACACCACTTCAGGTCAGAGCAAATCTGGGCGAAGAGATGCGAGGAAATGTCAGGCGAAACACGGGCTGGACCATCCCGGGTCAAGGCATGTCAGAACCCAGACTTGCGAGGATGTCTCAGGCGACACGGGCTGGGCGAGCAGCACCTCCTCCTGCTGCTGCACCTCCTCCGCACCCTGCTCCTCCGCTTGCTGCTGCTGCTGCTGCTGCTGCTGCTGGTCCTCTTTTCCCTCCCGATTCACGAGGAGACGGATGAGGGGAGGAGGGGAGTGAGGGCCCCAGGAGACCGCACAGTGGACGCTGCTGGCAAATACTAGAGCATCGACGAAGTTGTTGCCCATGCGCCAGTTTGCAACTTCGCTGGCCGCGCGCCTCGATGATCCAGCTGCGCCGCGTCCGATGCGCGCGCTGCGAAATTAGCGCTGTCACCTGTTGATTGTGGCGAGATCCAGGGGAGGGTTTGGGTGCAGGTGCGCCATTGCACGCCGGAGGTGCTGGATGACGCCAGCCCTGCGTCGCGGTAACGCGTGATTGCGGCCGAATTCACAGGAACACAAGTTTTGTCTGTCAACTTTGCCAGGCGGGCGCGTCGCCGTTTGCCGAGCCGCTTGGCTCTCCAGCTTGTCCGCGGGGCCAGATCCGCACATTACAAGACTCTGCGGACTATGGCAGCTGGATATACACGGCCCTATTGAGAGCATGGAGAACAGACCCAGGGAACAACCCAAGTCCCGAGGCCCAGCGAGGGCCCCCAGAGGCCGAAGATAGCGAAAAACCTCACGTCGTGATTCTTCATGACCCGAGGGAGTCTGGGGATGGGGGGGGGATGGAGGTCGGTGAAGCGATACTGAAACCTCCTGGGGGCTGGGAGCCCTGGCCCCCAGGGCCTCGACCGAGTGCCCCTGCGCTCGGCGAGCTCACTGAGGGTGAAGACGCCCCTCCGCTGCTTCTCGCAGGGACCGACCACAACGATGCTTAAAACGAAATGGCGTTTACAACGAACAACGAAACGAGGCCCAACGTTTGAGACGAACGTTTGAAACGAAGCCGGTGCCCAACGAAAACGAACGACGACACAGGGCGTCCAAAGCAACACCGAAAAACGAAACAGTATAACAACGAAC